CGCACATCGCCGCAACAACAAGATGCAGCGACTCTGCAAGCTCCTCCAGATGCGCATGCTGGTTGCCGTCCAGGAGGCGCACGGGTCCGAGATCAAGTTGCAGACGCTGGTGAACCAAACTCCACACCACTACCGAGCCATCATGTCGGCGGGCGGCTCCCCTGGGGCTGGCGGCCTCGCCTTCCTGATCCCGTGGTTCTCCGAGGCGGAGCTTGCGACGATGGACCCACAGTTGCTCCCTTCCCTCTCCTTGGACCCTGTGATTGATGGTCGCGTCGCGGTCCCCACTATCAGCAATTCGACTAACAACGAGCACATCAAGATCATGAACATCCACAACCACGAGCTGCCCGCAGCCAAACTACCTCTCGTGCGCCGTCGCTGGCTTGACGCAGCTGCATGGGCTCAAAGTGACGAACGACACCGCATCTTCATCGCAATTGGGGACTTCAATATCGCTGACATTGAACCGGTGCACCTCTCTTCTCCGAGCGCGGCTTCGGCTTCGGCGCCTACACGGGGCACTGGGCGACGGAGAATGTCTGCTACTTCTTCCTCTTCCTCGTCCTCTACTTCGCCCTCCTCCTCCTCGGAATCTGCTGCGGAGATGGCTTTGGGAGACTACCGACGAGCTGGTGGCAACAGCCGATCGGTCTGGCACCGTGGCAATCAGGCGCAGAGCTTCTGGCGCAACCTCTTCCAACGGGACATGGTGGAGGTGGTGAGCGAGCTACCCACCCACTACTCCAAGCGCCACCAGTCATGCACGTTCATTGACAGGGCCTTCATCTCCTTGAAATCGCACTTCCTCCTGGACACCTCCATCGCCTTCGAGATCTGGCAGGAGGCGACCTCACTGGCGGACTGGGGTCTCAGCGATCACGCCATCATTCAGCTGCGGATCCAGCCACGCGCCGCGGCTGCTCCCGACGATCGTGCGATCCCCCAGAGCGTCTTCCACTCGCCGCGGTTTGCCAAGCACGTCACTAACCTGCTCAACCATTCCGACTTCACGAACATAGCGGAGGAGAATCGCTGGGCTGAGGTGAAGCTGCAGATGATTGAAGCTGCTCGCATCACCCGCAATGAGCTCCAGGCCCTCCCTCTTGGCGATGGCCACGCTGAAGCCCTTGAAGGCCGCAGAATTTCGACACGGGCGATTGCGAGAGCCATATGGAGGCAGGACCTGCACCTCGCGCACAAGCTGATCCACTCCACTGCCATGGGCCGTCTGCACCTCACCATCGACGGAGACAACCGCATCCTGCTGGTCAATCCCCCCGCATTTGAACGAGAGTGCATGGACCTTCATCTCGCCTGGCACGAACGCCAGCAAGCTGCAGCGGCCGCCCGACTTCGTGAACATGCACAGCTGCAGCTCGACGCGGGCGACCCCACCATCCAGCAGTTGCGGAAGATACAGCGTGCTGCTCAACGGCGAGCCCTTCTTTGGATTCCTTACCGTCGTCGGCTGGTGCTCAAGGGTCTTCGCATGGATGGTGAGGGACACCAGGCGGGCATCGAGCGTCACCCGACCATGATCATGGATGGCTTGCGTCAGCACTGGCAGCCTGCCTTCACAGATCACCCTGTCGACATCAATGCGGTTGACGATTACCTGCGCACTCATCTCCCTGAGTTTGACAGCCCAGCTCTGGAGGTTCCTTCCCCAGCTGTTCTTCGCGCTGCGCTGCTTCGTGCCAAGCCCACTGCCCCTGGGCCTGACCGACTTCCTGCGGCTGCCTGGCTGGCGGACCCAAGGCTGGTGGACATCCTCTACGACATGATGATTGGCCTGTACCAGGGCAGGGGCGCGCCGCATGGCTTCAACTTCGCTGACATGGTCTTCATTCCCAAGGGTGACGAGCCCTCGGACTCCGTGGAGGCGGTCCGCCACGCGTCGAAGCTTCGACCTCTGAGCCTCAAGAACTGTGATGCCAAGGCAGTGGCTAGTGCAGCGAATCATGCGCTCGCCCCACTCGCGGCCGCACGAGTGCATGAAAGCCAGCAGGGCTTCGTGCGCGGACGGAACTTCCTGTCTCACGTCGTCCGTCAGGATGCGGTCGCTCGTGCTGCCAGTCACCACCCTGAGCTGTCCCCCCTCTTTGTCTCCTTTGACCTCCGGGCTGCGTTTCCCTCCCTCTCCCAACCCTTCCTCTGGCGTGTGCTCGAGCGTCACCGCATCCCGAAGGGCTTTCTTAATGTAATCTGTGCCTTGTACTCTGGGGCTCTCGCCCACTCCCGATGTGGAGCATCCCGCCGCCCACTCTTCATGGTGTCGTCTGGCGTGGCCCAGGGCTGCCCCCTCTCAGGCACGATCTGGGCCCTGTCCATGGACCCCTTCGCCCGCCACATCCAGTCTCAGCTAATGTCGCCAGAAGCACTGGCCCTCTGCCCGCACCCCGAGCGTTGGTGCCCACGGCTAGAGCCTGAGTGCGGTGTGACGGCGGATGACGTTGGTGCCACTCTCCCCTCGATCCGACTTCTCCCCCTGCTCGTCCCACCCTTCACCGCCGCCCGCACGCTGGCGAATCTCGAGCTCCAGCCGGAGAAATGCTGCGCCGTTCCACTGGCTGAAGAATGCACGCCCTGTGCGGCCGCACGAGTGAGCGCGAAGATAACTGCCCTGGCCCCCGAGTGGGCTTCCTTTCATGTCCGCGGCTGCACCCCGTTCTTGGGATTCGCTTTTGGACCAGGGGCGTCTCTTGCGGATCAATGGACCGACCCAATTCGCAAGTGGCGACGACGCACAGCAGAAGTCGCACTTAGCAGGACACCAGCAGAGGCCAGCTGCCGAGTATATAACTTCGGCATCCTCTCAGTCCTGAGCTACGTCTGTCAGCTCTACCCCCCTCCTCTCGCCCTCCTTCGCTCCGAGCGTCACGTCCTCCACCGCCTCCTCCGCCTCCCCCCGAATGCCTTCGGCCTGGGGGAGCTCCTGGGCCTAGGCTCCTGGCTCCGCTCCTCGGTCCCCAGGTCCGTGCGGGTTCTGGCCGGGGCCTCCGCCTGGCGGACCGCTGCGTCCACCGTTCCCAGGGATGGCCCAAGGGGCTGGAGCCAGGCTTTAGCGATCCTGCGGGCCCAGGCCGAAATGCACGGACCGCTCCGAGCTCTAGGCTCCCGAGGGCTCTCGAGTGCTGTGTGGCGTCGCTCGCTCTCAATCGTCGAATTCTTCGAGGATGTGCTGCACGGCGGTCCGACAGGGATTGCCCGTGCCGCCTGGCACCGAGCGGAGGCTGCCGCTCGCCATGAAATAGCGGATGCCTCGGCCGCCGCCCGACGACCGAGGCCCCAGCGTGCCCTCTCTCTGAGCCTCCATGCGTCCCTCTACCCTGACTCCTTTCCCTCTCTCCTCGCTCGTCGCATCTCCTCGTGGCTCCCCCTTGCTCCTCCTCTTCCCATTGCTGACCTCACCTGCCGCTGGGAGGAGCTCCGACGAGTCCTCACTCGGAGCCCCCCTGCCTGGGCATGGGCCCACATCAAAACGCTGGCGGGGGCCTGGACTACAGCCGCCCGAGTCCCCTGCGAGCCGCCCCGCCAGTGCATCCTTGGCTGTCCTGACGCTTCCGATGACTTTGCCCACTACATCTCCTGCCCTCGCCTCCTGCACCTCCTCGCTGTCCCTCGGGGCTTCCTCCCCTCCTGTCCCCTCACCCGCCTTG